TTATAACCACCATCCAGGTCAAGAAATAAAACATCACAAGCATTCCAGGAGCTCCTTTGTGCCCTCTACTAGTTTAGAAATTAAATATTCACTTTCTGTTCCTTTAGAAGCTATCCTAGGAAATATAATGTACATACTTAAATTATCAGATCTAAAGTTTGTTTTTTTGTTTTGTGTGTGGTTTTTTTTGTTTTTTGGTTTGTTTTATTTTGTTTTTTTGAGATGGAGTCTTACTCTGTCGCCCAGGGTGAAGTGCAGTGGCATGATCTTGGCTCACTGTAGCCTCCGCCTCCAGGGTTCAAGTGATTCTTGTGCCCCAGCCTCACGAATAGCTAGGATTACAGGTGCCTGCCCCCATGTCCAGCTAATTTTTTGTATTTTTAGTAGAGACATTTCACCATGTTGGGCAGGCTGCTCTTGAACTCCTGACCTCAAGTGATCCACCACCCCTCGACCTCTCAAAGTGTTGGGATTACAGTCATGAGCCACCACGCCCAGCTCAGATCTACAGTTAATAACTAATTGTTTTGAATAGCACAGGTCCGTTGAATGCTTTAACTTCATTTACTCTTAGCCTATTCATGTTATTGTTGTGGTTTTTTTTTAACCACATTAGATATTATTATGTATTTAGGTTCATTTTTCACCATTTATTTTGCTTTTTAAACTTTTTGCTGAAAATGAAGACACAGACACATACATATCCTAGGCCTAGGATCATCGATATCACTGTCTTCCACCTCACTACATCTTGTCCCACAAGACAATCTTCAGAGGCAGTAACATGCATGGAGCTATCGTTTCATATGCCTTTTTCTGGAGTACCGTGAAGGACTTACCTGGGGCTGTTTTATAGCTAGCTTAAAAAAGAAATAAGTAGGAGTACATTAAACAAAAGTATAGTATAGCAAATAATAGGCTGTCGGAATTTTCAGCTCTATGATAATCTTATGGGAACCACTGTTGTAAATTTAGCCAGTTGTTGAGTGAAATATTGTTATGTGGCACATGACTACTCAGTTTTAATAAAAGTTCCATGTGCTTGAAAATTGAAAATGTATTTTCCAGCCCAGTCACAGTGGCTCACACCTGTAATCCTAGCACTTTGGGAGGCCGAGATGCGCAGATCACTTGAGTTCAGGAATTTGAGACCAGCCTGGCCAACATGCAAAAACCCCATCTCTACTAAAAATACAAAAAAATTAGCCAGATATGGTGGCTCACACCTGTAATCCCAGCTACTTGAGAGGCTGAGGTAGGAGAATCGTTTGAACCCAGGAGGTGGAGGTTGCACTGAGTGAGATTGCGGCACTGCATTCCAGCATGGGCAACAGAGCGAGATCCTGTCTCCAAAGAAAAAAAGGAAAACAAAATGTATTTTCCACTGCACTCCAGTCTGGGCAACAGAGTGAGATCCTGTCTCCAAAGAAAAAAAGGAAAACAAAATGTATTTTCCATGTGTCACATTGGTCTTTCAATCAGAAGTAGTTAGATAGTTGACACTTTGCTCAGTCCTTCTTAACCACTATGAGACTTTGTTACATTGTGGATAATTTCTTCATAATCTCCCAGTGCTCTAATTCTTTCTTCACCCGTGTGTAATCTGCTATTAAATACATCTGTTTCTAATTTAAATTTTTATTTTTGGAATTACTATTTGGTCGTTGTTTTTATATGTGTGATTTTGAAAATTTTTAAATCTACAGAAAAACTTCGAAAAAATAATAATAGTTACTATTGTAATTATTATTATTTTTGGAGACAGTCTCACTGTCACCCAGGGTGGAGTACAGTGGTGCAATCTCAGCTCACTGCAAGCTCTGCCTCCTGGGTTCACGCCATTCTCCTGCCTCAGCCTCCTGAGTAGCTGGGATTACAGGCACCCACCACCATGCCCAGCTAATTTTTTGTATTTTTTAGTAGAGACAGGGTTTCACCATGTTAGCCAGGATGAAACCACATTTGTTTTAATTGTACCTTTTTTTTTTCTTTTTTGCTTAACCATTTTGAAATTGCAAACTTTATAATCCTTCACTCTAAGTACTTTAGTATGTATATCATAAGAACAAGAATATTATATTCATTGATAATTTAGTTTTTACTCCCATCACTCAGAACAAAGGTATAGTTTGTTTATAGTCTCCCTCTGGGGCCAGTAATTTTTCTAGTTTATCTTTTTTTGGTGGGTGTCACCTCACATGGACCCTAGGTTTGTCCTGTCTTTTCTTCCTCCAACATAACTCCCCCCAGTGTCTCTCACCTCCCTTGGTATATTAACACCTAGAACTTTGGCCCATTGGCTCTCAAAATCTGGTTTCTGGACCAGCAGCTCACCATGACCTGTGGATTAGAAATGCAAATTGTCAGGGCCCTCCCAATATCTATTGAATTAGAAAGTCTAGGGGCAGGGCTTTGCAATCCACAACTTGAGAAATTCTCCAGGTGATTCTTATGCACAACGCTTTATGCTAAGGGTGGCAAATTTTTCTTTTTCTTTTTCTTTTTCTTTTTTTTTTTTTAGATGGAGTCTTGCTCCGTCACTCAGGCTGGAGTGCAATGGTGCAATCTTGGTTCACTGCAACCTCAACCTCCCGGGTTCAAGCAATTCTCCTGTCTCAGCATCCCGAGTAGCTGGGACTACAGGCGCACACCACCACACTTGGCTAATTTTTGTATTTTTAGTAAAGACAGGGTTTCACCATATTGATCAGGCTAGTCTCGAACCCCTAACCTTAGGTGATCCACCCACTTCGGCCTCCCAAAGTGTTAGAATTACAGGAGTGAGCAGGAGTGAGCCACTGTGGCCCGGCCCTTTTTTTTTATTTTTCTTTTCTTTTTTCCTATAATAATAATGATATAAAAATATATATATAAACGTGAAAAAAATATATATAATCTCTAATAGGGTAGTATTATAACTGAAAATGGTAATTATATTTTAATATACTACTAAATATATTTTTTATAAATAGTAGCTCAAACCGAAAAATATGTGATGGACTTTTTTTTTTTTTTTTTTTTTGTCTGAGACAGGGTCGCACAGGCTGGAGTACAGAGACGCAATCACAGCTCACTGCAGCTTCAACTTCCTGGGCTCAAGAGACCCTCCTGCCTCAACCTCCCCAGTAGTTAGGACTACAGGTGTGCGCCACCATACCCAGCTACTTTTTAATTTTTTTTTGTTTAATTTTTTTTTTTTTTCTAAAACCTTTTTAGAAACAAGGTCTCACTATGTTGCCCTGGCTGGTCTCAAACTCCTGGGCTCAAGCAATCCTCTTGCCCCTGCCTCCCAAAGTGCTGGGATTACAGGCATGAGCCACATGCCCCACCAACTTTGTAAAGGATCAGACAGTAAATATTTTAGGCTTCTCAGGCCATATGCTCTTTTTTGTTTTGTTTTTGTTTTTTGAGACAGCATCTTACTGTGCCGCCCAGGCTGGAATGCAGTGGCACGATCTCAGCTGACCACAACCTCCACCTCCTGGGTTCCAGCAATTCTCCTGCCCCAGCTTTTGAATAGCTGAGATTACAGGTGCCTGCCACCATGCCTGGCTAATTTTTGTATTTTTAGCAGAAATGGGGTTTCACCATGTTGGCCAGGCTGGTCTTGAACTCCTGACCTCAGGTGATCCACCTGCCTCAGCCTCCCAAAGTGCTGGGATTACAGGCATGAGCCACCACACCTGGCCATCATACTTTGAAAAAAAAATACGTTTATTTTATTTTTGTTTATTAAAAATATGGAATGTGGCCGGGTGCAGTGGCTTACGCCTGTAATCCCAGCACTTTGGGAGATCTAGGCGGGAGGATCACCTGAGGTCAGGAGTTCGAGACCAGCCTGGCCAACATGGTGAAACCCCACCTCTATTAAAAATACAAAAATTAGCTGAGTGTAGTGGTTCAGACTTGTAATCCCAGCTACCTGGGACTCTCAGGCAGGAGGATCACTTGAACCCGGGAGGCAGAGATTGCAGTGAGCCAAGATCGAACCACTGCACTCCAGCCTGGGTGACAGAGCAAGACTCTGTCTCAAAAAAGACAACGGAGAATCTGGCTGGGCGCAGTGGCTCATGCCTGTAATCCCAGCAATTTTGGAGGCTGAGTTGGGTGGATCACTCTAAGCCAGGAGTTCGAGACTAGCCTAGCCAAACACAGTGAAACCTGTCTCTATTAAAAATACAACAACAACAACAACAGCAAATTAGCTGGGTGTGGTGGCGCATGCCTGTAATCCCAGCTACTCGGGAGGCTGAGGCACGAGAATCGCTGAAGCTGGGCAGGCAGAGGTTGCAGTAAGCTGAGATCATGCCACTGTACCTCAGCCTGGGTGACAAGAGTATGACTTTATATTGTACTGCCATAACATTTTAATTCAAATAGAATAAACTTAATTGTAAGAGTAATCCCTAATATTTAGTTTTGAATTGTTTTAAAATTATAAAATGGTAGAGCTGGAAAGGTTTTGTAGTCTAATAACCGCCTGTTTCTGTTGAAGCAGAAATTGGGCCAGGCGCAGTGGCTCATACCTGTAATCCCAGCACTTTGGGAGGCCAAGGCAGGTAGATCGTTGGAGGTCAGGAGTTCGAGACCAACCTGGCCAACATGAGGAAACCCTGACTCTACTAAAAATACAAAAACTAGCCGGGCATGGTGGCGGGCACCTGTAATCTGAACTGCTTGGGAGGCCGAGGCAGGAGAATCTCTTGAACCCAGGAGATAAAGGTTGCAGTGAGCCAAGATCATGCCATTGCACTCCAGCCTGGGCAACAAGAGCAAAACTCTGACTCAAAAAAAAAAAGAAAAGAAAAGGTTAGAGAGTCTTGCCCCAGATTGCATAATCAGTCATTGTCAAAATCCTCACTGGAGCCCAGGTACTCATGCAGTCTTTTGCCTCCTGTAGTCTCACCACATTAAATTCTAAAGTTTGTTTAAAAATCTGAATCCTGATTTTTTTCGCTATTGTAATTTTTTTCTGATTTTTATTTTCCTCCTCATTTCAGGCCGGGATAGAAAATCGTCAGCTGGACACAGTAAATTTCTTTTTGAAGAGCAAAGAAAATCTTTTTAATCCATCCTCAAAATCTTCTGTATCTGATCAGTTTGATCACTTTTCATCCCATTTATATTTAAGAAGTAAGTGGAATAAAGATTTCTACATTCGTATTTATCATTTGATCTTCTTAATAACTTTCAAATTATGATCTTGTGGTTTCTGATGACTCATTTACTTGCCAAAACTTAGTCATGGGATTTTATATACTTTTTGGAAACTTTCTTCTTCCTTTTTTTTTTTTTTTTTGCATCACAGTCTCACTCTGTTGCCTAGGCTGGAGTGCAGTGGTATAATGACAGCTCACTGCAGCCTCACCTCCTGGGCTCAAGCAATCCTTCCACCTCGGCCTCCTGAGTAGCTGAGACTACAGGTGCATACCACCACACTCAGCTATTTTTTGTAGAGAATGGGGTCTCACTGTGTTGCCCAGGCTGGTCTCAAACTCCTGGGCTCAAAACAATCCTCTGCCTCCCAAAGTGCTGGGATTACAGGTGCGAGCCACTATGCCTGGGCAACTATGTGGAAATTTGGCAGTGTTATCTGATTCTATAAATGTCCTCATACTATATGGGCTATTTATTGCTCATATCTTGTGCTATACTCTGTTTGTAGTATGCAAGGAAGAGACAATCTTTTAAATTCAAGACAGTTTTATACACGACAGGAAAACATTTATTTGGAAAATTGCCTGCCCTTGCAACCATCTGAGATGTGTATTGACAGTTGTGGATTAGGATATGTTGTAAGAATTTTTGGCAGGATGCAGTGGCTCGCCCTGTAATCCTAACACTTTGGGGGCAAGGTGGGAGATCGCTTGAGTCTAGGAGTTTGAAACCAGTCTGAGGAACATAGCAAGACCCCATTCTACAAAAAAAGTTTAAAAATTAGTTGGGCATGATGGCACATCCTGTAGTCCCAACCATTTGCAAGGCTGAGGCAGAGGATTGCTTGAGTCTGGGGGGAGGTCTAGGCTGCAGTGATCTGTGATTGTGCCACTGCGCTCCAGCCTGATTGCAAAGTAAGACTGTCTCAAAAAAAAAAAAAAAAAAAAAAAATTCACCCGGACCTCTCTGCTTTTTTGCCACACTACCAACACGTTTCAAGATTTTGGCTTTCATTTTTAACAAATAGGAAGCCTAACTTTTATTCTTGGACCAGGTAGCCATGCAAATTCTCTCCTTAGGACAACAGGATAATAAAGTATATTTTCCCCTTGTTAAACAAAAATTATGGAGACCATTGTTTTGGTGTAAGCTGTACTAGGCCCCATCAGACCAGAACAGAAATCAAAATGAAGTCAACTATGCTAAAGTTCCATAGCATCAAACTTAAAATAAGGTGGTCTTCTGACATTGGGAGAAATTAGGAGAGAGCCAATAATCCCAAACAGTCCAGTTTCAATCTTCAATCAGCGTGATGATGAAGTTCCCTCTGATATAATCCTTATGTAAAAGAAGTAACGTAGGCCAGGTGCAGTGGCTCATACCTGTAATCCCAGCACTTTCAGAGGCTGAAGCGGGAGGATCTCTTGAGCCCAGGAGTTTGAGACTGGCATGGGTAATATAGTGAAACCTTACCTCTACAAAAAATTTAAAAATTAGCCAGGCGTGGTGGTGTGCGTGTGTGGTCTCAGCTACTCAGGAAAGGGAGGTAGGAGGATTGCTTGAACCTGGGAGGTTGAGGATGCAGTGAGCCGTCATCATGCCATTGCACTCCCATCTGGACAACAGAGTGAGACTCTGTCTCAAAAAAAAAAAAAAAGGCTGGGTGCAGTGGCTCATGCCTATAATCCCAACACTTCAGGAGGCCCAGGCGGGAGAATCACTTGAGACTAAGAGTTCATGACCGGCCTGAGCAACATAGTGAGACTCTGCCTCTATTTTTAATTGGAAAAAAAGCCTGAAGTAGCTTCATGTTAAATAATCAGTATTTTTTCTATTATTCTGTCTCTCTTTATCTTACAAAAAAAGTAGCTTTGAAACAACCAATATGCTTCTGCTCTCTTCAGCTCTTCTGTGTCCATAAAGCCAACCCCTCTGCTCAACTCACTAGAATACCTTTTCCATGTTATGAAATTAAGTGTTGCCACATTCTAGAATTGCAATAAAACCAATTGAGATCTTTAATCTGAATTTATTGTAATTTTTGTTCTTTGACACTCTGTAAATACGGTTTTATAGTCTGTTTTTTCCCACTTCATACTATAGACATCTTTCTTGTTAGTAATATATACTTACTAATTATGATGACACAGAATTTCATTGTATGGGCTGTACCATAATTTGCCAAGCCAAACTCCTGTTAGACATTTAGATTTATTCCAGTTCTTTGCTATTAGCAGTGTGTAAGAAATGCTGTATGTGTGTAATTTCACATATATAATCATTTACTTATATTACTAGAATTTATTATTAAATTCTAGACCTGGAATTTCCAGGTTTAAGAGTATGCACAATTTATATTTTTAAACACCTTGATAAATTGTCCTTCAAAAGTTTTACCAATTTGTAGTCTACTTACATGGAGAAAATGACAACCTGCTCTTTTTCCACTGATGTAGTATTACCTTTCACTGAGAAAATGAATTGGATGTTTTCTTTTTTTCCTCCCTAAATCTCATATATGGTGGAAAGATATTTTCTTTTAAAAACACATTCTCAGACTGGGTACAGTGGCTCACGCCTATGATCCCAGCACTTTGAGAGGCCGAGATGGGCGGATCACGAGGTCAGGAGTTCGAGACCAGCCTGATCAACATGGTGAAACCCCATCTCTACTAAAAATATAAGAATTAGCCGGGTGTAGTGGTACATGCATGTAATCCCAGCTACTAAGGAGGCTGAGGCAGAATCACTTGAAGCGAGGAGGTGGAGGTTGCAGTGAGCCGAGATCGCTCCATTGCACTCCAGCCTGGGGGACAAGAGTGAAACTCCGTCTCAAAAAAACAAAAACACACATTCTATTTTGTTTTGAGTGCAGAGTTTGGTCTCCTCTTTCTTGGATTGCCAGCTTTTCTAATGCTCTAATGTTTTAAAAACTGCTTGAATTTATAGAAAAAGGCCTGATTTTGGTGTTGAGCAGGGCTCCATCAGCAGTTGTAGAGTCATTATTCACTTCTGTTCTTCGGTGGTTAGTGGTTTCTCCTCATTCCACTCTCACCTGCACTGCTCAGCTCTAAAGGGTGGAGATGGGTCCGGAACGAGAAGCACTGGGAATAGCCTTACCTGCTCTCCTAGGGGGAAAACCTGTTTCCCATAATTCTCGTACATCTCACAGATGTAATCCTAAAGTGGGGGGCAGTGCTGAGACAAACAGGAATCACTTAATTAGAGCCTTCAGCTGCAGATAAAACAACCAGGGGCCCACACTTCTTGCTTTCACTTGAATGTTTAGCACAGAATAGCTTTGCGATCAGACAGGCTTAAATTCACATTTTGGCCCTGCCACTTACTTTCTTTTTCTTTTTTAACGCTGTTGCCCAGACTGCTTTAGTGCGGTTGTGCAATCTTCGCTCACTGCAACCTCCACCTCCCGGGTTCAAGCAATTCTCCTGCCTCAGCCTCCTGAGTAGCTGGGATTACAGGCGCCCACTAGCATGCCTGGCTAATTTTTGTATTTTTAGTAGAGGCTGGGTTTCACCATGTTAGCCAGGCTGGTCTCAAACTCCTGAGCTTAAGGGATCCGCTTGCCTTGGCCTGCCAAAGTGTTGGGATTACAGGCGTGAGCCACCGCGCCTGGCCCTGCCACTTACTTTCTGAATTAGCTTGGGCAAGTCTCTGAACCTCAGTTTTTTAAATCTATGTAAAAAGAATATAATACACACCTACCTCTTAAGTTGTTGAAAGGAATAAATGAGGTAGCATTTATAAAACAACAAGTACAGTACTTAAGATGTAGGTGGTCAGCAAAAGGGTAGTTAGCAGTGATACCAGTAAATGATAACTATTAATAATTAGAATCATTAAATTTTGCAGGTAATAAGCCTGCATAAAAGTTTTGTGAGCTTTTTGAAAATAAGACATTGGTCCTTGTTTTATGTTTAAAAATATTGTAACATGATATTTTTTGATATGTTAATTTTATTGTGAGAATCCTGGTATTCTTCATGTTAATTTCTTTGGTTCTTTCTCAGATGTGGAAGAGCTGATGCCAGCATTGGATTTACTTTGCTCAGCAATTAGAGAAAGTTATTCTGAACCCCAAAGCAAACACTTTTCAGAACAATTGCTTAATCTTACACTGTCTTTCCTTAACAACCAAATAAAGGAGCTTTTTATTCACACTGAAGGTAAGAATAGCAGCTAGGAAGGGGGCAATTCTGTTCCTGTGTCAGAACAGATACAAGTGCTGCCATTGGGTGACACAGCATAAACAGGTGACACGCCATTTACTACATTTGGGTAAGGGCAGTGTGTAATTGAGTAAGTGAAATGGGTTTTGATACTGAGAAAGTTAGTAGAAAGACCCAGGACTAATCATGAAGAACAAGAAAAGGAAAGGGTTGTATTAAAATACAGAGCTACTTACTTGTAAACAGGAAAATCCTCAAACATGTTGTTTGAAATTTAAAAATAGCAAGTTTGAATTTGGACTTTCTTTAGAATTCTTTATAATAGCTCATGGTTTATATTTATACACCCACACATACAAATTGGCACATTGGTATTTTCCATAGAACTAGATGAACATCTGCAAAAAGGAGTGAACATTTTGACTAGCTACATTAATGAACTTCGAACCTTCATGATAAAGTTTCCTTGGAAGCTAACAGATGCTATAGATGAATATGATGTACATGAAAATGTCCCCAAAGTAAAGGAGAGCAATATATGGAAGAAACTCAGCTTTGAGGCAAGTATGAGTAAATATCACTTCTTTTATTTGCTAGATTCAGAAGATCTGAGAAAACAATAGAAAAAACAGAATTCAGACTCTATACACTTGTGATTCAGAATGTTTGGCAAAGGTTTTAGGTTTTATTGGTTTTGAGATTTCTGATTATGACTTCAAATTCATGTCTACAAGCTCTGTTTATTTAATTCCTTTATTTAATTCCATATTATTTAATAATATGGGTAGGCTCCCTCTTAATGCTAGATCTGCCCACTTGGGTTCGGTAACAAACACCCAACTCTAAACCCATGTGAAGTGGCACTTCCTTAGCAATACTCCCTCATTGACTCAAGCCTGGCACTTTGGACTCATGCATTCTGCCTGACCTCTGGATAAATTGAATTGCTGCTGCTGATTAGATCTTTGGAAATTTTTATTTTATGACATTATTACTTAGAGGTATACTTAATTTTAGTCCTATCTGAAATTCTGTTTAAGACATTTTGCCAGTTAAATTTGTTTCCATTTGCCTTTTTTTCCTCCACAGTAAAAGTTATAATAATACAACTAAAATTTACTACCATCTATATGACTTAGGGACTGGAAGAATTCCTTCATCCACTGGAGGGTATTGGTATTTTAAAAACAAGTGCTAAAACAGCTTAACACAGATGATCATAATCAATAGGGAATTAAAGTGATAAGATTGAGATGCTTCTAGGTTGTTAAGATTGCTGTTCTTGGGGTGGAGGGATTAAAGTACCTGGTGTGACTGCATTTTCTGTATCTCTTATTCATTCTGTAACCTTAAAAAGGAAGAAATGATCCGGGCACAGTGGCTCATGCCTATAATCCCAGCACTTCAGGAGGCCGAGGCCGGCAGATCGCAAGGTCAGGAGTTCGAGACAAGCCTGACCAAATGGTGAAACACTGTCTCTACTAAAAATATAAAAAAATTAGCCAGGTGTGGTGGCGGTCACCTGTAGTCCCAGCTACTCGGGAGGCTGAAGCAGGAGAATTGCTTGAACCTGGGAGGTGGAGGTTGCAGTGAGCCGAGATCGCACCACTGCACTTCAGCCCAGGCGACAGTGTGAGACTCTGTTTCAAAAAAAAAAAAAAACAAGAAATTACTGGCCAGGCGCGGTGGCTCACGCCTGTAATCCCAGCACTTTGGGAGGCCGAGCGAGGTGGATCACGAGGTCAAGAGATCAAGACCATTCTGGCTAACGCAGTGAAACCCCTTCTCTACTAAAAATACAAAAAATTAGCCAGGTGTAGTGACGGGCGCCTGTAGTCCCAGCTGCTCCAGAGGCTGAGGCAAGAGAATGGTGTGAACTTGGGAGGCAGAGCTTGCAGTGAGCTGAGATCGCACCACTGCACTCCAGCCTGGGCGACAGAGCAAGACTCTGTCTCAAAAAAAAAAAAGAAAAAAAAGAAATTACTTACTTTTCCTTCTACTTTTTTGTCTCCTTTTTCCTGTCTCCTTCACAGATTTCTCTTCCTGTTTCCCTCAATGTTCTGCAAGGCTCTGTCTGTGGTCTACTCAGAATCACTGATTTTCAACTTTTGCCAGGGGAAGGGGTTATAGTTTACTTTGATAAAAATTGTAGACCCTGTCTTCAAAAACAGGCATGTGAATGTGTACACATAAATTTTGTACATGGCATAATGGGGTTTACAGATCTCTTTAAAGCCCTAGGTTAAGAAGGCCTCCTTTCTATTCTCTCTAGGGTTTAGATCTTCAGTTTAAGTATTTCTTTTCATGTGGATTATTGGTAGTAGCCTTCTAGTGCCTTAATATCTCGAGCTTGAATCACTTTCAGTCCACTCTCTATATTGCTGCCTGGATATTTTTCTGTAAATATGTATCTGATTACATCACATCTTGCTTTTACAGTCTTTCAGTGGCTCCACGTAGTTTCAGGATAAAATCTAACTCAAATGCAAGGCTCTTCATGATGGATCCTCTGCTTTGCTTTTAAGTCTCATCTGCTGCTCTCTCCAGTTATATTGAGTAATTTGTAGTTCCCTGAAGGCTTGATGCAGTTTCTTTTCTTTGTCTCTCTGCATATGATACTCCCTTTTTTTGGAACACCTGTCCTCTTATCTCAATATATCTGTGGAACACTTACTGGTCTTTAAATTTTTTGTCTTATCAGTTACTAGTTACTTCTACTATCAAGCCTGTGCGGGAGGGCTACGGGGGTGGGTGGTCATCACTTTTATTTAGATGTTCCTCTTCTGGACCTTCCTCTCTAACACCCTGGGATACTTTTGTCACAGCACTTATCATACAGTACTATAATCAGTATGTCTTCCACTAGCTCCTGGAGTTGTAAGGTCTTAGTTTTACTCAATTTTATATCCCTTGAACCTAACTCCAAATCTAGTAATCGATTTTAAATAAAAGTTCCTTTGTTAGATGTTCAGTAAATGTATAAATCCCATGTTGTTAATCATAATAAGGAAATGAAAAGGAACTTAAAAGGCAAACGTTTTTCTTTTCCTAGGAAGTTATTGCCAATGCCATTTTAAACAACAGAATACCAGAGGCACAGACTTTCTTCAGGATTGATAGTCATTCTGCTCAGAAACTTGAGGAGCTGATTGGCATAGGCCTAAATTTGGTCTTTGACAATTTAAAAAAGAACAATATAAAGGAAGCCTCTGAACTTTTGAAGAATATGGTGAGTGGTGTAATCCATAAAGTCTTAAAATGTATTTAATATAATTTCTAGTTACTATAAAGTTGGTTTGTATTCATAATTATTTCATAAACTAAGAAATTTATGTAGTGGATAATGACACTAAAAAATAATGACATTAATAACACTGAGAACAGCTGGGTGTGGTGGCTCATGTCTATAATCCCAGCACTTTGGGAGGTTGAGGCAGGAAGATCACTTGAGGCCAGGAATTCAAGACTGGCATAGGCAGCATAGCAAGACCCTGTCTCTACAAAAAATAAAAAAATAAAAAGGACATGGTGGCTTGCACCTTGTCTTAGTCTGTCCTCATATTGCTATAAAGAACTACCTAAGCCGGGCATGGCGGCTCATGCCTGTAATCTCGGCACTTTGGGAGGATGAGGTAGGTGGATCACCTGAGGTCAGGAGTTTGAGACCAGCATGACCAACATGGCACAACCCCGTCTCTACTAAAACTACAAAAATTAGCCAGGTGTGGTGGCAGGAGCCTGTAATCCCAGCTACTAGGGAGGCTGAGGCAGGGAAAATTGCTTGAACCCAGCAGGCGGAGGTTGCAGGGAGCCAAGATGGTGCCACTGCATTCCAGCCTGGGCAACAGAGCAAGACTCCATCTCAAAAACTAAATAAATAATAATGAACTACCTGAGACTGGGTAATTTAGAAAGAAAAGAGGTTTAATTGGCCCACAGTTCCACAGGCTATACAGGAAGAATGGCTGGGGAGGCCTCAGGAAACTTGTAGTCATGGTGGAAGATGAAGGGGAAGCAGGCATGTCTTACATGGCAGGAGAAAGAAGAAGAGAGCAGTGGGGAGGTGCTACACACTTTTAAACAACTAGATATCATGAGAACTCACTCACTGTCACAAAAACAGCAAGGGGGAAGCCCACCCCCATGATCCAGTCACCTCCCACCAGGTCCTTCTCCAACATTGGGGGTTACATTTCAACATGAGATTTGGGCACAGGCACAGATCCAAACCATATCACACCTGTAGTCCTAGCTACTCAGAAGGCTGAGGCAGAAGGATCTCCAGGAGTTCTAGGCTGTGGGGAACTATGATTGCACCTATAAATAGCTGGTAACAGAGCAAGACCGTGTCTCTAAATATATATATATATTTTTTTTTTTGAGACGGAGTCTCGCTCTGTCGCCCAGGCTGGAGTGCAGTGGCCGGATCTCAGCTCACTGCAAGCTCCGCCTCCCGGGTTCACGCCATTCTCCTGCCTCAGCCTCCCGAGTAGCTGGGACTACAGGCGCCCGGCACATCGCCCGGCTAGTTTTTTGTATTTTTTTTAGTAGAGACGGGGTTTCACCGTGTTCGCCAGGATGGTCTCGATCTCCTGACCTCGTGATCCGTCCGTCTCGACCTCCCAAAGTGCTGGGATTACAGGCTTGAGCCACCGCGCCCGGCCTCTAAATCTAAAAGAGAAATAACACTGAGAAATGTTTTGGTACTGAGAACTTTCTTTTTTTTTTTTGTTGTTTTTGTTTTTGAGACGGAGTTTCGCTCTTGTTGCCCAGGCTACAGTTCTATGGTGCGATCTCAGCCCACATAACCTCCACCTCCCAGGTTCAAATGATTCCCCTACCTCAGCCTCCCAAGTAGCTGGGATTACAGGCATGTGCCACCATGCCCAGCTAATTTTGTGTATTTTTAGTAGAGACAGGGTTTCTCCATGTTGGTTAGTCGGTGAGCCACCCACCCTGACCTCCCAAAATGCTGGGATTACAGGCGTGAGCCACCGTGCCTGGCCTGAGAACTTTTTTGAAGATATTTTTCCTCTAATTTTATTTAGGTATGAGTGACAGAAATTACATATGTTTAAGGTATACAGTATGATGTTTTGATATGTATGTACATTGTGAAAAGATTACCACAAGTAAGCTAATTAATATATCACCTCACATAGTTATGTGTGTATATATGGTGAGAACACTTGAGATCTACTCTCAACAAATTTCGAGTATACAATGTATTATTATTAACTTTAGTTACTGTGCTGTACATAGGTCCCCAGAACTTACTTATCTTGTATCTCAAAGTTTGTACCTTTTGACCAATATCTACTCCTTTCCCCTACCCCACAGTCCCTGGTAATATCATTCTACTCTCTATTACTGTGAGTTCAGCTTTTTCTTAGATTCCATATATAAGTAAGAGCATGAAGAATTTGTCTTTCTGTGTCTGGCTTATTTCATTTAGCACAATATCCTTCAGGTTCAGCCATGTTGTTTACAATTGCGGGTTTTCCTCTTTCTCTCTCTCTTTTTTTTTTTTTTTTTTTTTGTAGAGACAGAGTCTCACTATGTTGTCCAGGCTGGTCTCGAACTTTTGGGCTCAAGCAATCCTCCTGCCTTGGTCTCCCAAAGTGCAGAGATTATAGGCGTAAGCCAGCACAATTGGTCTTTCCTTCTTTTGTTTTTTTTTAAGGCCAAATAATATTCCTTTGTATATATACACCACATTTTCTTTATCCATTCATCTGTTGATAGACACTTAGGTTATTTCCATATCTCTTGAAGAGATTTTTAAATGGCATTTAAAAGTACTCTCTGAGCTGGGTGCAGTGGCTCACACCCGTAATCCCAGCACTTTTGGAGGCTGAGACAGGCAGATCACTTGAAGAAGGAGTTTGAGACCAGCCTGGCCAATGTGGTAAATGCTGTCTCTACTAAAAAAAACAAAAATTAGCCAGGTGGGTAATGCATGCCTGTAATCCCAGCTATTTGGGAGGCTGAGGCACGAAAATCGTTTGAACCCATGAGGCAGAGATTGCAGTGAGCTGAGATCACGCCACTGCATTCCATCCAGCCTGGGTGACGGAGCAAGACCCTGTCTCAAAAAAAAAAAAAGAAAAGAAAAGAAAAGAAAAATACTCTGTTAGACCTGGCACTTTGATTAGGAGGAGATAGTGTTTCTCATAGAAGACTTCACACATGTTGAAGCATGCATAAGAGCTCATTATTTGTTGGAGGACATTCTGTATTGTTCATGTGACCCCTTACATCTCCACTTGAACTTTCTAGTAAATTATGCCTTTGCTGGACTTTTTGCTCTATGGTTTTACTTCACATGAGAAGGGGAAGTCCTAGAAGTAAGGCTTTTAGGCTAAGCTGAGATCTAGCCCTAATCTGCATGGTTGGGGTCTTGCCCATGGTAACTTTCAGGAGGTGCAGAGGAGTGGAACTATGTAAGAGGGATGTTGTTTGCATTGATCATTGTTTCCACTTGAATCAACATACCAGATTGCTGTCATTTTGGTCCTGTCGTAACCTAGCATTGCCTTAAATTGTTCTGTGTGCTGCCTTTGCTCTGACAAAATGCTTAAGGACTTTAGGGATAGGCAGTAAATACATATAATAAATGTAGGAGGGCCAGGCAGGGTGGCTCACGCCCGTTATCCTAGCACCTTGGGATGCTGAGGCAGGAGGATCACTTGAGCCCAGGAGTTCAAGACCAGTCTGGGCAACATGAAGAAATCCCATCTCTACAAAAAATACAAAAATTAGCCAGGCATGGTGGCGCACACCTGTAGCCCCAGCTACTTGGGAGGCTGAGTTGGTAGGATCACTTTGAGCCTGGGGGTCGAGGCTGCAGTGATCTGTGATCACACCCCTATACTCCAGCCTGGGCAGCACAGTGAGACTGTCTCAAAAAGAAAAAAAAAATTAGGAAAATGAATGTTTGAAAGAGCAGAAAGGTCTTTGGAAAGCTATGGAATTCTAACAAGATAGATGTTTATAATAGGGTGTTTCTGTATCTAACACATTTTTTTATGTTCAAAATAGTTCCATTACAAAATGCAACTTTTTTTGGTTTTCTGTGTTTATTTTAGGGGTTTGATGTAAAAGGCCAATTGCTCAAGATATGCTTCTACACAACTGATAAAAATATACGTGACTTTTTGGTAGGTAAAGGTGAGACTATGTAGTATACATTTTCTAGAAAGCCTGGGTGAAAACCTTGGAAGAAAACCTTGGAAGAAAAACTTTAAGTAATTTTAATGTTCAACTAATATCTAATAAGTAAAAGTGTGACAACCCCTTCATCTTTTTTTTCCCCTTCATCTTTTTTTTCCCCTTCATCTTTCTTAAGTGACTATTTTACATTTGTGGCAAAAGAAAATTTGTGTTTAATATACATTGACTCAAATGTTCAAAATATAATTCTTGAATGGCATATTATCTCATTACTTTTTTTCTAATCTTTAATTCTCAGCACTATCTTCTTTGATAATCTCATGACATTTTTTGCAAATGTGCTTGATTTTTGTAAAGTCACTGCTTTTTATTCAAGGTTGAAATTTTAAAAGAAAAAAATTGTTTTTCTGAAAAAGAGAAAAGAACTATAGACTTCGTGCATCAAGTTGAGAAGCTTTATTTGGGACATTTCCAAGAAAATATGCAAATCCAGTCATTTCCCAGGTAGTCTCATTAGTCTCCTTTTGATAATATTAGAATACTGTAGATAGTATTTAGTTTATAATTGTTAGTGAGCACAAGATTCTTATGTGGAACTGAGCCTGCATTCTCCATGGAGATAAAACTTGTATCAGACAGAAGGGTCTCAAGAGTTTTCTGTCATTTTAATATTTGCATAATCAGAATTATGTGTTCTCCAAAAGAGTAGATGTTCTTGAGCAGATAAAAAAGGAATGATGTCTTTTTCTCCAAAATTAAAAAACAATTTATATCACTGTTTTTAGGTATTGGATAGAGGAACAAGATTTTTTCAAGCACAAATCCGTTTTGGACTCATTCCTGAAATATGATTGTAAAGATGAATTTAACAAACAGAACCATACAATTGTGTTAAATTGGGCTGTGTGGTGGGATCAACTAACACAGGAATCCATCATTCTCCCCAGGATAAGTCCAGAAGGCAAGTGTGAGAGAGTCTGAAATATGAACATACTGAATGAGGATTAAATCGGGTATTGGTATTTGAATATTTTGATGTGTCTCAATTTTAGAATTCCTTTTGGTAAATAATATTCAGGTTTTTTAAAATGCAAATCATTGCATTAAGACCTCTTTCTTATCCCAGAGTTTCTGGGAGGGATTTATAATGTGCTAATAAAAGAAAAAAAAAAATAGTTAATTGAGATTTCAAGGTTGAGTTTTCATTCCAGCTTCAAAGTGACAATCTTTGTTTTTGCAAATAGTCTGAGTTTCTTGTGTAAACTGGGAATCTGTGCCATGATACAGGGGATCTGGGGCATAACTGTGGTAAACAGTAGCAATTCAGAGAGTAAAATTCTGGCTTACTATTATAGCTGAAGTTTTTGTTTATTATTTTTTTTCTTTTCATCCTTACCCTTCTGAAATAAAGTTTTTATTTATATTAAGGGAAAGAGAAGGGAAAAAGAGGGTTGAACAGGTAAGTGAAATGTACAGCTAATACGTAAGTTTCATTTTAACCACCATAGTAATTAGAAGCTACATCTAGCTCTTTGGCTGTAATACTGATTTTAAAATGAATAGCGCGGCCAGGCACGATGGCTCACACCTGTAATCCCAGCACTTTGGGAAGCCGAGATGAGAAGATTACTTGAGGCCAGGAGTTCAAGACCAGCCTAGCAACATAGTGAGACCCCCATCTCTACAGAATATATATTTTTTAAATTACCTGGGCAGCCAGGCGTGGTGGCTGACGCCTATAATGCCAGCACTTTGGGAGGCTGAGGCAGGCGAATCACCTAAGGTTAGGAGTTCAAGACCAGCTTGGCCAACATTGTGAAACCCTGCTTCTACTAAAAATACAACAATTAGCTGGGTGTGGTGGTGGATGCCTGTAATCCCAGCTACTTGGGAGGCTGACGCAGGAGAATCACTTGAACCTGAGAGGCGGAGGTTGCAGTGAACCGAGATCTCATCACTGCACCCCAGCCTGGGCAACAGAGCGAGACTCTGTCTCGGGAAAAAAAAAAGAAAAAATTACCTAGTCATGATGGCACATTCCTGCAGTCCCTGCTACTTGGGCAGCTGAAGTAGGAGTACCGCTTGAGCCCAGGAGGTTGAGGCTGCCATGAGTGCACCACTGCACTCTAGCCTGGGCAACACAGCGAGACCCTGTCTCAAAAAAAAAAAAGAAAATAGTAAAAGAAACAGAGGATTTTATATAAAATAATAAAAGAAACTGAATAATTAACATATTGTATAAATAGCTATGTCCAGATTGTTACATTTGCTCAGTAATTTAGTGTTGAGTTACATGTCAATAAACATAATTATGTTTTAAAATGTGTTTTGTTCTTCATGTAGAATACAAATCATATTCCCCTGAAGCCCTCTGGAGATACCTCACAGCTCGCCATGATTGGTTAAACATTATCTTATGGATTGGAGAATTTCAAACCCAGCATGGTTATACTTCATTTCAGCAGAACAAATGGCCCCTTCTGACTATTGATGTTATTAACCAGAATACTTCCTGTAACAACTACATGAGGAATGAAATTTTAGATAAGCTGGCCAGGTATTGTAACTGTTGAACTAATCCCCAGTGGGAAGAGTACAAGGGAAGAGCAAGAAAAAATAATGGTGTAGCTTTTCCTTTGAAAATGCCAAAAATCCAATGCAGTGCTGTTTCATATTACTATAAAATTTAAAGGGCATCATCTTAACAGTGAAGTTTTAAAATCATATTCATTTGGCCAGGCGCGATGGCTCATGCCTGTAATCCCAGCAATTTGGGAGACCAAGGCGGGCAGATTACCTGAGGTTAGGAGTTCAAGAGAAGTCTGGCCAAAACCCTGTCTCTACAAAAATACAAAAATTAGCCAGGCATAATGCCAGGTAATCTCAACTACTTGGGAGGCTGAGGTTGCAGTGAGCCGAGATCGCGCCATTGCACTCCAGCCTGGGCGACAGAGCGAGACTCCATCTCAAAAAAAAAAAAAAAGAACACAGGCATTTTATGTCATGTGGGTAGTAAATAAGCTCTTAAGTTCTAGATGCAGGTTCCTCCCAAAACATTTTATGCACTTTGGTATAGAAATGTTCAGTTTTCAGTAGGGCTATAAGGAACAAGTGACAAGAGCTGAGAAGGGGATATCTTAGTATCCTGTCTCCTGTGCTTCGTATTGCTATGTGTGTGCTGTGCATGTTCTTGAAGTAAGAGAACTGCTGAATTAAGAAATAGTGAGGGGAAGTAGCTCTTGAAGTGATATGAAGATTTTAAACTTCAATTCATTTAGAAAAACCTGTTAAATTGAACCATATGAACTTGCCATTTCTGTGGGTCAAAAATGGCTGAATATCAACAATTTCATATGGCTCCATTTAATCTATCTTTCTAACCTGTTGAAATAGTATAAAGAAAGCTAATAACATGTATGTTAAGTTTCTTAAACATTTTTATGTATTATTTTCTATTTATACTTACTGTGGTATACTTGCAGCTGTATTTTCCTCCCCAACTTAAAGATGTGGAGAGTCAGATCCAGGGACGTTAAGTGCTTTGCACAAGCCAGTTAGTTACAGATTTAAATCCCTTAGCCCCTGATTTTCTTTCCTTTTTTTTTTTTTTTTTTTAGTAGAGACAAGGTTTCACCATGTTAGCCAGGATGGTCTCCATCTCCTGACCTCGTGATCCGCCCACCTCTGCCTCCCAAAGTGCTGGGATTACAGGCGTGAGCCACTGTGCCCAGCCAGTCCCTGATTTTCTATTCATTCTTCTCTCCATTGCACTAAATGCTCTTATTTACTATTAGTAAATATTATAGAACTTGTCAGCTTACCTAATATTTTGCTTGGCATTTGGTTTTTAAATTAATGTATATATGGTTTTAGAATTATGAAATTAGTAAATTAATGAACTCTATGCCACCAGATTAAAGAAGAAAAATCATACCACCCTATTAGATACAGAAAAGCATTTGATAAAAATTCAGCCTATTTACCATCAAAACTATTGGCAAACTAAGCATAGATACAAACTCCCTTAACTTAATTGGGTTTTTTTTTTTTTTTTTTTGAGATGGAGTCTTGCTGTGTCGCCCAAACTGGAGTGCAGTGGCATGATCCTGGCTCACTGCAAGCTCCGCCTCCCAGGTTCACCCGATTCTCCTGCCTCAGACTCCCAAGTAGCTGGGACTACAGACGTGTGCCACCACGCTCAGCTAATTTTTTGTATTTTTAGTAGAGACGAGGTTTCACCGTGTTAGCCAGGTTGGTCTTGATCTCCTGACCTCGTGATCCACCTGCCTCAGCCTCCCAAAGTGCTGGGATTACAGGCGTGAGCCATCGCGCCTGGCCTAAACTCCCTTAACTGAAAAGGGGTATCTAGAAAAATCCTTTTAGCCAACATCATACTTACTAGTGAAACACTGTGAGCATTCTCTTTAGATTTGGAGAAAGACAAGCCTGCTACCAAGTTGATCTTTAAATATAGTGCAATCTCAGTAAAAATCCCAGCCGTTTTTTTTTTTTTTTGTATGTGTGTATGGATTATGACATGCTGATTGTAAATATTTATATAGAAATTAGAGGGTCTGCTGGGCGTGTTGGCTCACATCTGTAATCCCAGCACTTTGGGACGGTGGTGGAAGGGACTGGAGGCGGGCGAGAGTAACTGTGAGGGGGGCTGCAGGCGGAGGGTTGGAGAGGCGGAGGTGCGGGGTGAGACTTCAACGAACGAGTAAGTGAGAGGACCTGTCGCGGCGCGGAAAAGAAAAAGGTGTAGGCGCCGGCGCGGCATGGCGGTGTGGCACGTGCGGTCATGGTAAGCCCAGCTTACTCGGAAGGCTGAGGCAGGGAGAATCACTTGAACTCAGAAGGGTGGGGTTGGCAGTGAGCAAAGCATCAAGCCATCTGAACTCCATCAGCCTGGAGAGACAGGTGAACTCCATCTCAAAAAAAAACAACAACGAAAAATAATTAGAGGGTGTCAAGAAGACGCTCTGACAAAGAACTGTGTGCCGACGTGGCGCAGAACAAAATCCGTAGCTAAAGGCGGGAGCAGGGTGGGAACGGATGAGGTGAGAGTATTGGTGCTGGGCGGTAGGAGATCAGAAGTGTGCAGCATAGACATGACGAGGACCTGATACCTGTATGATCAAGTTTTAAATCATCGGACAGAGCGGTTGGTCACGGCACGAAGAGGTGGGGAAAGAGACATCTTTTGAGGAATGGGGCTGGAATTAACTGAATAGCGTATAGGGGAAAAGCAAGTATATAATCTAGATTCCCTCGGAACCCTACGTGATGATGTACAGTTAAATCCATTCTCGGGGTCAGGATGTGAACCCTAAATGATCAAGATGTCGAAAGTAAGTAAGAAGTTTGGAAAATGCAGCTATAAGTGAGTACCCACAGACCTTGAGGGCCAGTGATAGCGATATATGCTTGTGTCTAAAAGGTCCGAAAGGGGCGAAGATCTGTCAGCTGAGACCAAGAGCGACTGCCGCGCCTGCCGACAGGAGTTGGGGACCTTCCGAGCTGTAGGGTGCGTCAGGCCAAATGCTGTAGGTCACCCGGCACAGAGGAGGCACCAGCGGTATTTCCGTCTTATCTCTGATGGAGGCCGCTCATTCGTCGAATCGAAAACGAGGAGAGTCTAGGACGACTGAGGTCTTGTAGGAAGCCGTAAGAGGTGAGCCTCAGCAGGCGAGAGCCGCAGTGTAGAGGTGAACGAGAGTAAGCTGGAGTCTGAGGAGAAGCGACTACCCAGCACATAGCCTTCACAAAAGGAGGAAGACAAAGGCTAGCTAACAGGAAGAAGACTGCTTCCTCCATGTTGTAGGGTAAGGAAGATGCAAATCTTATGTTTACGCCGAAATTTAGAACAACTAAAAAATGGAGCCCTCAGTGTTGTTCCGTGAGAAGTATGATGTTGTCTACGCAAAGATTTTTCTAGATAGCCTTTTCAAGGTTAAGGAGTTCCGTTCGTATGCGTGTAGTTTCCACATATTTTTTATCATTAAATAGGCTAAATTTTCATCAATGATCAGGAAGTGGATAATATGGGATACTATTCGAGTACAATGGAAATACTGCTATAAATGAAAATAACAAACCTATAGCCCCAGAGAGTACTCTAACATGGCTAAATCAACACATGTTGGTAGAACGAAATAAGTAGTAGAAACAATTATAGTCCAGAATGTTCCACATAATACAAAGTTCGAAAATACGCAAAGATCTTAAATTAGATTTGGGACTTGCGATATAGTGTTAATAACAACTGCTGAATAAAAGATAAAAAGGGCCACAGTTCACCACCCTGTAATCCCAACACTTGGGGCCTAGGCAGGGAGGAATTGGTTGAGTCCAGGAGTTCAAGGTACAGCCAGGGACCGAACATAGAACCTCGGTCCCTACAAAAAAATTTAAAGAGCTGAGTTGCGGGCCGCACAATACGTGTCAGTCCGCCAGATACTCGAGAAGGCGTGAGGATTAGGAGATCAGTCTGACCAGAGAGGGAGCGTGCAGGGAGTTGAGAGGGGGCTGACCACTGGCATTCCAGCCTGGGGACCAGACTGGCGAAAAACGCCTGCCCAGACAGAAAAGAAAAACTACTAAAAAATACACAAGAAACTAGCTGGCAAGGTGCAGCGCGGCCTGTACAGTCCCAGCTACTCGGAGGGCTGAGGCAGAGCAGAAGGGGTAAACGAGAGGCGACGTGCAGTGAGCTGAGACTCAGCGACGCAGCGCCGAGCGCTGGCGAGCAGGAGAGAGGCACCACTGGTCAAAAAAAAAAAAACTACTAAAAAATACAAAAAAAAAAAAGTATGGGAATGACTATCATAAAAGTCAGGATAGTGGCTAGCTCCGGAGGTAGCAAAGGGCATGCAGTGGGGGAGGAATACACCAAGGGCTTATAATGTTCTATAATTAGGTTAGTGGTTCCATGATGTTTCTATAAACTCCATATACAGGTGTATGTTTTCTTTACTCCTTTGGTATATATGATGTAACAGTAACTTTGTAAAAAGTAATATTTACATGCAGATTTCTATTCTTGTACAGTAGTTGGTCTGTTTAAATTATTCTGATGTAGCATGATGATTTTGTTTGAATATTTTGGTGAATTTCTCAGTGCTTAGAGCATCCAGTTTCAAGGGTTAACCACTGTTGCTATACTGGGTAATGGTTCCCGTCAAAAACCAAAAAATGGAAATAGCTTGATTTAGATTTTTAAAATAATAAAGATAATTTGAGTCTGTCATTACTACTTTTAAATACTACAGTGGTGCAGAAAATTTTGTTAGAAATCCGCAAAATATGTGTCAGAGAACATATAGAGTAAGAAGTGGCAGCATTAATTTGTCAATGCTTATTTTTAAGTAATTGAGACTTAAACTGTGGACGTGATTTGGTCTGCTCTGAACATAGCGACTTTTTAACTTGCCATCCTGTAAATCTGTCCATAGGAATGGGATTTTTCTGGCATCTGAACTGGAAGACTTTGAATGCTTCCTCCTAAGACTGAGCCGTATTGGAGGTGTAATACAGGATACCCTCCCTGTTCAAAACTACAAGACCAAAGAAGGTTGGGATTTCCATTCTCAATTCATTCTCTATTGTTTGGAGCACAGTCTGCAGCATCTTCTTTATGTCTACCTTGACTGTTACAAGTGAGTACTGAGAATGCATTTGTCCTTGATCAGGTCTTCACATTTTCTCTTTGCATATGACTCCTGAACGTGACTTTTAGGAAAATAGTAAGCATTCACACGAGGAATACTGATCTTTTTGAAGTAGTTTTCTCCATCTCAACAACTGATACATCTTTGAGTTCAGTATTACATTCAGCAAAATGCTCATGTGTTTTTTTGGTGATATTAATTCTGTAGTATCTCTGTTAACCTTTTAAATAATTTGACTTTAGAATACAATGAAAGAAATGCTTTAAAAGGTTTGAGAGGAAGATTCCAAAGTTTCACTTGGAGTTTACTTTGATACTTTGTTTACCAAGAGAATGCTAAATGTCTTTGATTTCATAGCAAGGTGTATTTCACTTCAAGGTATATTAGATATGCTCTAAAATTTATATTTATATAGACACACACACACACAGAAAGAAAGAGCAATACATCAGCATATGTCTACCTAAGATTAACCTGCAGAATCATATCTGTGCCCAGTGTTAATTGCTATTGGGTCAGTAATAACAATAACAGTAGAAGTAGTCTTTAATATATGAGTGTTTACAATGTTATCACTAAACTAAGTAGTTTATATGCATTATCTCATTTAATCTTCACAAAAACTATGGGGTAGTTACTCGCATCTCCATTTTACAGATGAAGAAACAGGCTTTGAGAGAGACTAAGTATCTTACTTAAGGCACACAGCTAATAAGTGGAAGAGCTGATTTAATTCTACTTAATTTTTATTCCAGAGCCCACATTTGTACACTCATAGGCAGCATTTTTATTTTACTTATTTTGTGTAGTAAAGACTAGAAATTGGCCGGGCACAGTGGCTCACATCTGTAATCCCAGCACTTTGGGAGGCCAAGGCAGGAGAATCACTTTAGCCCAAAAGTTCAAGACCAGCCTGGGCAATGTAGTGGGTCTTCTTCTTTACAAAGAAGTGAAAAATCAGCCAGGCATAGTGGCACACACCTGTAGTCCCAGCTACCTGGGAAGCTGAGCTGGGAGGATTGCTTGAGCCTAGGAGGTCCGGGCTGCAGTGAGCCATGTTTGCGCCACTGCACTCCAGCCTGGACAATACAGTGAGACCTGGTCTCAAAAAAAGAAAAAAAAACAGACTAGGAGTTTTTGACGTGTCATATCATTAGTCTTACTTAGAAATGTTGTCTCCAAAGCTACTAGCAAGAGAACAGATTTAAGAGCTGTATTTTCAAAGTATGTATTCTGAGCCATAATTCCTCAGTTGTAACCTCTCTGTAGTTGTGTAAGCTTTTTATTTGTATTTTATTTTGAGACAGTCTCACTCTGTCACTCAGACTGGAGTGCAGTGGCACAATCATGGCTCATTGCAGCCTCAAACTCCTGGGCTCAAGCAATTCCCCCACCTCAGCCTCCCAAGTAACTGGAACTATAGGCGCACACGAGCACACTTGGCTTGTAAGAGTTTTTAAAAAGCCTCTTACTAAGTTTGAATATGCTAAAAAGTCTTTGCTGTAAAAACCAATAAAATATGAAGTATCTTAAAGTACAAGGTATCTATTAATCTGACAAAGAGTTGGTTAAATTTCCTCATGGTAGTGAACATATGATGTCTCTAAAATCTCTGTCTCTGAAATTGTCTGTTTCCAGATCATGAAGAATATGTAAAATACAACACAAGAGTGGGAGTATTTTGTGTTATATTTACTTTTTAATTCCAAGATTCTTTTTTTAAATGCTAATCATCACCTGAGCAAACATGGTTGTAATTGTCTTATCCTGTATGTTAACCAAAGAAGTTTTTTGTTTGTTTTATATACAGACTTAGTCCTGAAAATTGTCCCTTTTTGGAAAAAAAAGAGTTACATGAAGCACACCCTTGGTTTGAATTTTTAGTTCAGTGTCGACAAGTTGCCAGTAATTTAACAGGTATGGGTATACTGTATTAAACACAGAAACTTTCTTTGGATCAATCACTGGTCTGTTGAATGGTATTAAACTTGTGAACTCTTTTAAATAAATTATTTGGCTGTGGTCAACTATCTGAATGTAATCTAGGCTCACACTTTAGGTAAGAAGTAGAAGGCCAAAAAGGTTAGCTGCCAGCCAGCCAAGAAAAGCTAGACCTGGAGCAAAGACTTTACGTGGTTTTGTCCCCTTCCCCTTAGCATCGTGCTCTAGGATTTCCCTTGTCCCACCAGTTTGTCAGAGGCTGAATTCCTGCTCTCTGGTCAACTGGCACCCTTTTTCCATGAAGAAGTGGTCTGTCTTCCAGATCCCTGTTTTGAATATTTTAGTAAGGAACTCCAAATGGAGTTAAAAGAAATCCATAGTATGTGTGAGATTGTTGTGTCCTCTGCAGTGGAGCTGCTGATGTAGAGGCTTACTCTGGTTGTAATCAGACAGAAAAGCCTTATTACCCCTGAGGACTTAGCTGGTGTTATCCCAGAAACAGGGAAAAGGGGACAGGCTGAATGACCACAGACAAGGAATGTCAGCAGTCTTTCAGTTACATATAATGTCCAGTTTCTCTCGAAATGCAGAATTTTTTCATAATGTGGGTTTTGTTTTCTGGTTTTGCATGCTGATTATGAAGTAATATATGTTCATTGCTTAAAAAAAAATTAGAAACCACAGACAGCTATCAAGAAGGTAATACTGGCCAGGTGTGATGGCTCACACCTGTAATCCCAGTGCTTTGGGAAGCAAAGTGGAAGGATCACTTGAGGATAGGAGTTCAAGACCAGCCTGGGCAACATAGTAAGACCCTGTCTCTACAAAAGATTTTTAAAAATTAGGTGTGGTGGCATGCTCCTGTAATCCCAGCAATGTGGGAGGCTGAGATGGGAGGATCACTTGAGCCCTGGGGTTAGAGGATGCAGTGAGCCATGATTGTGTCACTGCACTCCAGCCTGGTTGAGAGAGCAAGACCCTGTCTCTCTTTAAAAAATAAATAAATTAATTAATTAATTAATTAAAAAGTAATACCTCCATGGGTAGCCTTGGTACATAGGAAAATAACCACCCGTAGGTAACCACTGATAATATTTTAATGTATTTTGTTCCAGTTTCCCTGTACTTTTTAAAAACCTAGTCTCTATTGTATTTCATTCACCTAACAAATATTTATTGAGCTCCTACCTTGTGACAGAATATTGTACAACAAGAAACATCTGTGTTTTTATATACTGCTTTTTTGTGTAATATTATAACAGAATTTTCCCACATTCTTAAAGACAATGACCATTTTAAATGTTTACATAATATTTCATTGTATGGATATACCCTTATTTAATTTACTGTTCTCTCATTTTCTGATGAGGCCATTTTCCATTTATTATAAATAATAGTCTTGAACATATTTCAATGTAAAGTTTTGTCCTTATTTCAGATTATTTTCTTAGTACAGATAGGTTTTGGGATATAAAACTATTGGGTCAAAGGTTATACATGTTTTTAAGGTTCTTGCTGTAGGACCGGATTGCTTTCCAAGGGAGTTGTACAGTTTTATGATTTTATCGTAAGTCCCAGTCTCTACTCACTGTGACCAGCTCTAATGCTTGATGATTTTTTTTTAATTATTGCTAATTTGATAGGTAGTATATGGCATCTAATTAATTTGCATTTCTTTGTTGCTAGTGAATTATGTACTTTTATGTGTCAGGCATTTATATTTCCTCCTTCATAAATTGGTTATTTCTTTTGCCCATTTACCTGTTAGAGTCAGTATTTTTGGCATTGATTTGGATGAGCTCTTTGTTGAGGACAAACTCAGCAACTCTTTAGGTTGTCATTTGTTATAATTTTTCTCTCAGTTCATTGTTACCTTTTTTTTTTTTTTTTTTTTTTTTTGAGACAGAGTCTCGCTCTGTTGCCCAGGCTGGAGTGCAGCGGCCGGATCTCAGCTCACTGCAAGCTCCGCCTCCCGGGTTTACGCCATTCTCCTGCCTCAGCCTCCCGAGTAGCTGGGACTACAGGCGTCCACCACCTCGCCCAGCTAGTTTTTTGTATTTTTAGTAGAGACGGGGTTTCACTGTATTAGCCAGGATGGTCTCGATCTCCTGACCTCGTGATCCGCCCGTCTCGGCCTCCCAAAATGCTGGGATTACAGGCTTGAGCCACCGCGCCCGGCCCATTGTTACCTTTTAATTGTCTTTGAATAGAAGTTTTTATTTTTGTGTAGACAAATCTTTATTTTTCCCCTCTGTGATGTTTTCCCATTGCTTTTACACTTAGGAAGTCCTTTTTTTTTTTTCTTCACTGTGGATAGAGTTAAAAATTTATATTATTTTTCTCACATTTATGTAATTCTTAATTTAGTATTTATCCCTCTGTCTTTTATTTTCCAGATCCCAAACTGATCTTCCAGGCTAGCCTCGCAAATGCTCAGATTTTGATTCCCACCAATCAGGCCAGTGTAAGCAGTATGCTATTGGAAGGACATACCCTCCTGGCCCTTGCTACTACAATGTATTCTCCTGGGGGTGTCAGCCAGGTATGGATAGCACTTTACAACAAAATGGGACTGATTTTTAAATTTAGCAGAATTATCTATGGATTGTCTAGATCTCAGTTGATATTAAAATATAACTATATTCAAGTATTTCATTAGATTAAAGAGCAGAGGACAAGGCTGAATTGTAATCAGACAGAAAAGCCTTATTACCATTAGTCTTACTTAGAAATGTTGTCTCCAAAGCTTGAGGTCAGGAGTTTGAGACCAGCCTGGCTAACATGGTGAAACACTGTCTCTACTAAAAATAGAAAAAACTTAGCTGGGCATCTTGGCACATGCCTGTAATCCCAGCTACTTGGGAGGCTGAAGCATGAGAATCACTTGAACCTGAGAAGCGGAGGTTGCAGTGAGCCAGGACTGCGCCACTGCATTCCAGCCTGGGCAACAGAGCGGGACTCCGTCTCAAAAAAAAAAAAAAAAAGGCCAGGCGCGGTGGCTCACGCCTGTAATCCCAGCACTTTGGGAGGCCGAGACGGGCGGATCACGAGTTCAGGAGATCGAGACCATCCTGGCTAACACGGTGAAACCCCGTCTCTACTAAAATACAAAAAAAATTAGCCGGGCGAGGTGGCGGGCGCCTGTACTCCCAGCTACTCGGGAGGCTGAGGCAGGAGAATGGCATGAACCCGGGAGGCGGGGCTTGCAGTGAGCTGAGATCCGGCCACTGCACTCCAGCCTGGGCAACAGAGCCAGACTCCGTCTCAAAAAAAAAAAAAAAAAAGGAAAGAAATTTTTGACATCTACAATTTAAAGGGAATGAAGCCAGGCGCATTGGCTCATTTTTGTAATCCCAGCCCTTTGGAAGGCCAGGGTAGGTGGATCGCTTGCATACAAGAGTTTGAGACCAGCAACATGACGAAACCCCCGTCTCTACAAAAAAAATTTGTTTTAATTAACTGGGCATGACCGGGCACGGTGGCTCACGCCTGTAATCCCAGCACTTTGGGAGGCCGAGGCGGGTGGATCACTTGAGGTCGGGAGTTCAAGACCAGCCTGGCCAACGTGCTGAAATGCCATCTCTACTAAAAATACAAAAATTAGCCGGTCATAATAGCGTATGCCTGTAATCCCAGCTACTCAGGAGGCTGAGGCAGGAGAATTGCTTGAACCCAGGGGACAGAGGTTGCAGTAAGCTGAGATTGTGCCAGTGCACTCCAGCCTGGGCAACAGAACAAGACTCCATCTCCAAAAAAAAAAAAAAAATTAGCTTGGCATGGTGGCATGCTCCTGTAGTCCCAGCTACTTGGGTGACTGAGGCAGGAGGATTGCCTGAGCCTGGGAAGTCGAGGCTGCAGCGAGCCAAGATCATACCACTGCACTTCAGCCTGGGTGACAAAGTGAGACCCTGTCTCAAAAAAAAAAAAAAAAAAGCTGGGTGGGGGTGGGGAGGGGAATGAATATGTTATGTAGAGATTCTTTTTTCCCTTTAGTTTGTTTTCCAATACTCCAGATTTGTTTTCAGAATACAATTAGGATCTGCTTGCTTCTGGGAGTAAGAATACTTTAGATCTGTGGCTTGGTAATTATTCTGTACTATTTGCCCTCTTAGGTCAAAGGAAACCATAATCTTCAGCTACCCATATAAACTTTATTGAGGGACCTAATGGAAATGTGCCCATCTTTGCTTTTTAGAAGTAGAGTGGCCTGTTTAGAGGGAAATTAAGAATGTTGTTTAATATCGAATCTTCAAAAGTTTCTTACTGGTGCTAGCTTAACTTAATACCACCTTTTTTAGATTGTTGCAGTATACCTTACACGACTATTTAATTGTCTATTTTTAATCACCTGTCAGAAATTAGAGTCATAGGATAACTTTAGAGTTGAGTGAGAAGTCATCTAGTTTAGTAGTTTGTAAATATTTTAAAATATATATTATTGAATTAAATATTGGCAGAGCGGTTTTTCAAACAATTTCTATACAGCTTGAAAACCACTGATCTAGCTGAACTTCCTAATTTTGCAGCTGGGGAAACAAAGACCTGATATTAAATATCTAGCTAAGGTCACATAGCCAGTTTGTTTCAGAACCAGAACAAGAACTGTTAACTTATGACTACTTGTCTAATGCCATATTCACTACCACATACTCTTCTCAAGCTAATCTTGTTTCACAGGGTTCTTGTGAAAAAAAGACTTAAACTTTGAGAAGAGAAAAATGCTGCTCTCCAACCTGTTATCTGTCTTTTTACTTAGGTTGTTCAGAATGAAGAAAATGAAAACTGTTTGAAGAAAGTGGATCCCCAGCTTTTGAAGATGGCATTAACTCCTTACCCCAAGCTAAAAACTGCTCTCTTCCCACAGTGCACTCCTCCTAGTGTCCTGCCATCTGATATTACACTCTACCACCTTATTCAGGTACAGTATTTAGGTGGTCAATATTTAGGTCTGATAGACCTAAATATTCAGCCAGGAAAACAGAAATCACTCTAGATCTTTCAACTGGAGGGCATTTAACGTAGGGAATTACTTATACAGCATCATAGCAGAATGGAGAAACCAAACGCGATAGTGAGACAACCCCAGATAACAAAATAGGAAGCCATGTTCTTGCACCCCTAAGACTGCAAGAACAATGCAAAAAAGTGGTGTTACCAGAACCCAGAAGCTGGAGCCATTTCTGGGAATTAAACTAACAACCAGACTGCCTAATGGGAAGTGGGAACATAGAGTATGGAGGTAGATGCCCCAGGAAAATGCAGGGGGGGAATATCTTGACTTCTCTCTTCCCATCTTTAGTCTCCCACAGTGTCTTTGTGGCTATATTTATCTGGTAGCCAAAGGGCAAAGGAGCTTGGGAAATGTAGTTTCCTGCAATGCTGAGCAGAGTGGGAAGGGTGGAGGTGGGTCAGAGCAAACAGTTGACCAACATACCTATCTGCTGCTTTCATCAAAAGCACTCTATTCTGCCACTTGTAACTTCTAACTGTCTCTTCTCAATGAATCAGGGATGTTTGTTTAAATCAATGCTTTTTAATCTTTTTCAGAACCTCTAAGAATGTAAGAAAGCTACAAACCCTCTACCCAGAAAAATTACACATATGCATATAATTTTGCTTACATTTTAAAGTGATTCACAGACTCCCTGAAGCCTAGTCAGGGACCCTCAGTTAAGAACACCTTCCTTTGCCTATTTCTCATTTCAAAAGGCTTTTCCTTTTTTCCCTGAATATACATATTCTCCTAGTATCTATAAGGTTTATAGCATAAGGTTTATAATTCTATAAAGGAGCCGGGTGCGGTGGCTCATGTCTGTAGTCCCAGCACTTCGGGAGGCCAAGTTGAGCGGATCACCTGAGGTCAGGAGTTCGAGAGCAGCCTAGCCAACATAGTGAAACCCCATCTCTACTAAAAATACAACAATTAGGCAGGCATGGTGACACGTGCCTATAGTCCCAGCTACTCGGGAGGCTGAGGCAGGAGAATTGGTAGAACCCAGGAGGCGGAGGTTGCAGTGAGCTGAGGTTGCACCATTGTACTCTGGCTGTGTTCAAAGAATTTATGTCCAGAACGATAAGCTTTAAATTGCCTTGGAAAAGGGGAAGCAGACTACCTCTGAAGTCCTTTCATATAATTTTGTTTACCTATTTTAGAATCAATGAATTTCTAATTCTGTTTAACTTTTCCCCTTTTTCAGTCATTATCACCCTTTGATCCTAGCAGATTGTTTGGCTGGCAGTCTGCTAACACACTAGCTATAGGAGGTAAGTCATCATGGGTACTTCTTGAGACATGTTTTAGCAATGTTAACTATAGAAGTTAATATATGTAAAGCCAATCTAGTTTTCTCATTGCTTTTTATTTTAAAAGTAAAGGTGTATTCCAAAGGAAAAATAGTTCGCAGAAGACAGAATTGAAACATATTGTGAGTTAAAAGTCAAGTATTAGGTTACTAGTGCTGTACTTGCTGAAAAAGGTAATGTGTAACTATTTGATTATATTTCTTCCTTTCAAAAAATTATTCTTCATTTCCAGTATAGTATCATAAAAATTAAAAGCATAGGTGTCAGCATTAAACAAATCTTGGCCCTACCATGTAATTAATACCTGTGTGACCTTGGTCATGTGATCTAACCTCTTTAGTTCTCTGTGAAATGAGGTTAATCACAGTGACCACCTAACACATTACTATGAGAATAAAAGGAGGCAAGGCATTTAAGTACCAGATTCACACACATTGCTGTCCTATAAATACCGTAAGACTTTCTCTGATTTATTTTTTTCTGTTCTTAAACTGTTTTTTCTATTTCTCTTTTATCTTTAATATCATGTTATCTGTGGTGCCTCTGCCTATATTACCCTAAATTAGGCTTTGCATTAGTACTTTGTACATAGTATGTACCCAATAAATATCTGTTGACATAAATAAAAATGAATTTCTTAATGTATATGTTTTATAAGTTCAAATTTTGATATATAGAATTTACCTCATGCCCAGAGTCCAGTGTATGCCAGGCCTACAATAGATGTTCAGTAAATGTTTGTTGAGTGCTGAAAAAAGTAGTGCTTATTGCATTTATCGAATAGAAATACCCTTTCTCGGCTGGGCGCGGTGGCTCAAGCCTGTAATCCCAGCACTTTGGGAGGCCGAGACGGGCGGATCACGAGGTCAGGAGATCGAGACCATCCTGGCTAACACGGTGAAACCCCGTCTCTACTAAAAAAACAAAAAAAAACTAGCCAGGCTCGGTGGCGGGCGCCTGTAGTCCCAGCTACTCGGGAGGCTGAGGCAGGAGAATGGCGTAAACCCGGGAGGCAGAGCTTGCAGTGAGCTGAGATCCGGCCACTGCACTCCAGCCTGGGTGACAGAGAGAGACTCTGTCTCAAAAAAAAAAAAAAAAAAAAAAACCCTTTCTCTTGAAGTTACTAGAGAGTAGACAGAATCCCCTCTCCTGTTGTGATGGCTCCAACTCCATCACTTAGGTGACATCTTGACCTGGCATTCTAACTCTTGGAAATTGAGCACTCTACCAGGTAGAGTAGAGGCACAGAGAAGTTGAAAGCATGTTCCCTGCCATTTTTAGAAGTTTAAAACATACTTGAGGAAATCACAAAGTAAATGAAACTGTTATCCTGAAAATATAATCCTTTTATTTTTGTTTTGAGATGAAGTCTCGTTCCACTCAGACTGGAGTGCCGTGGCGCAATCTCAGCTCACTGCAAGCTGTGCTTCCTGGGTTCATGCCATTCTCCTGCCTCAGCCTCCTGAATAACTGGGATTACAGGCACCTGCCACCACGCCCAGCTAATTTTTTTGTATTTTCAGTAGAGATGGGGTTTCACCGTGTTAGCCAGGATGGTCTCGATCTGCCAACTTTGTGATCCACCCGCCTCGGCCTCCCAAAGTGCTGGGATTACAGGCGTGAGCCACCGCGCCCAGCCAATACATATTTATAAAATTGGAAAACTGTGTTTAATTTGAATGTTTACTTCTGTTTTCTTATGGTTTTACCACTGAATGTGGATGTAGTAACACTGGGTGATGACTTGGCTTCTGCACCAGGCCAGAGTAAAATTTCCCTTTAGATTGAATTTTCTGTTATACACAATCTCCATACTAAGCCCCAACCTGCTAAAAAATTACGGTCTTATCTGAATAGAAAACTCAAATGTGCTCATTTCAGTACTGTGTGCCTTACACACACTCAGCAAATATTTAATGAATGGCTTTATATGTAATTACAAGTTGCCAAAGTCGCTCTGTTCTCACAAGAATGCAAACAGGGCATGTGACAGTTTTTTTAATCTCAAAGAGGGAATGTACTTTCAGGTAAGACCTTTGTAAGATGACAGATACCTCGAGGGTCTTCAAGCCTTTTTTTTTTTAGGAATCAGGTCACAATGTGGAAAGTCCTTGGAATTCCATGAGAAAATACAACTTTATTTCAGAAATAAGCTTTGAACTTTGAAAACAAGAGCAGATACACTGTTTTCCAGAACTAGTTTCTGGAACCAGATCACTGTGTTGTCTTTTTTCAAAAATAGGTAGTAAGTGGTTAAGAGACAATTGAATAGTCCATGACAGGAGTGATTATTTCTTTCTAACTGGAGTCAGCCCTCCAGATCCTTGGGTTCCATATCCAAGGATTCAGCTAACCTCAGATGGGAAATATTTGAGAGAACAAACAAACAATTAAAAAAAAAATAGAACAATAAAAAAAACCAATTTAAAAATACAGTATAACAACTATTTACATAGCATTTACATTTATTAGGTATTATAAATGATCTAGAGTAATTTAAAGTGTATGGGGAAATGTGCATAGGCTATATATAAATACTATGCTATTTTACAGGGACTTGAGCATCCTTCTGTGGGTTTTGGTATCCAAGAGTTTCAGGAACCAATCCCATGGATACCAAGAGATGACTAGACTCACATCAAAATATCTTCTGACTTCAGATTTATCTAAAAAGAGACATTTTTGTTCTGATATTTTCTTGGGTTTAGAGGAACTTTAATCTGAGCTATTCTGTTGGTCTTATTTATAGAAAGATGGTGCCATCTTTCTAAGATATTCATGCTCTATGAATACAACATCAGAAAGTAGGTGATAACAAATGGAGGTTATAGAAGGGTAATTAGTGTTGAGGGAAAAACGTTCTAAAATTACCTGTTGGAGGCCAGGTGTAGCGGCTCATGCCTGTAATCCTAACACTTAGGAAGCTGAGGTGGAAGGATTGCTTGAGGCCAGGAATTCAAGACCAGCTTGGACAACATAGCAAGACACTGTCTCTACAAAAAATTAGCCAAGTATAGAAGATAAGGGTCAAGAAGGTGAAAGAAAAATTTAAAAATTAGCCAGGCATGGTTGTGTGTGCCTGCAGTCCTACAGGAGGCTGAGGCAAGAGGATTGCTTGAGTTAAGGAAGTCAAGGCTACAGTGAATTTTGGTCATGCCACTGCACTCCAGCCTGGGCAACAGAGCAAGACCCTGTGTCCAAAAGAAAAAAAAAAAATTACCTGTTGGAGAAAGGTGCAGTGAATTGGCTTTGGTGAACAGAGGACTCATATAAATATGTTAAAAGGGATTTTATTGCATAATGACCTTTGTGAATGAATTTAAAAAGCTCCTTTTGCATATATTTAACAGATTTTATAATGATAGGGTTATTGGCTATTGCCTTTCTGAACTTAAAGGATCATCAAATACAGAATTAAAACCAGGGTGGTTCAACATACACAAATTAATAAATTATACACCACATTAACAGAATGCAAGACAAAAACCAGGCCAAGCGCAATGGCTCACGCCTGTAATCCCAACACTTTGGGAGGCCGAGGCGAGTGGATCATGAGGTCAGGAGATCGAGACCATCCCGTCTAACATGGTGGGAAACCCTGTCTCTACTAAAAAGTACAAAAAATATTAGCTGGGCATGGTGGCGGATGCCTGTAGTCCCAGCTAGCTACTTGGGAGGCTGAGGCAGGAGAATGGCGTGAACCTGGGAGGCGGAACTTGCAGTGAGCCAAGATCACGCCACTGCACTCCAGCCGTGAGTGGTGACAGAGCGAGACTCCATCTCAAAAAAAAAGACAAAAACCATATGATCATATCAGTAGATACAGAAAAGGCATTTTGCAAAATTCAACATCCTTTCATAATAAAAACTCTCAACAAATTAGGCATAGAAGGAATGCATCTCAACATTATAAAGGCCATATATGACAGGCTCACAGCTATTATCATACACAGCAGTGAAAAGTTGAAAGCTTTTCCTCTAAGATCAGAAACAAGACGGGGATGCCCACCCTTGCCACTTCTGTTCAACATAGTACTTGAAGTCCTAACCAGAGCATTTAAGCAAAAAAAAAAATGAAAGGCATCCAAATCAGAAAGGAAGAAGTGAAGTTTTCATTGTTTGCAGATGGCATGATTTTGCATATAGAAAATCCTAAAGACTCTACCAGTAAAACTGTTAGAACTAATAAACAAATTCAGGAAAGTTGTAGGATATTAAATCAACATACAAAAATCAGTAGTGTTCTATATATCAATAGCAAACTATCTGAAAAAGATAATGAACAAAACTATCCCATTCCTGTTTTTTAATAGAACACAAAATACTTAGGAATAAATTTAATCAAAGAGGTCAAAGATCTGTACATGTTAAACCATCAAACATTGGTGAAAGAGGCTAGGTGGGCTGGGTGCGGTGGCTGGCCGGACGCAGTGGCTGGCCGGACACAGTGGCTCACGCTCATGCCTGTAATCCCAGCACTTTGGGAGACCGAGGTGGGCAGATCACCTGAGGTCAGGAGTTCGAGACCAGTCTGGCCAATATGGCGAAACCCCGTCTCTACTATAAGTACAAAAATTAGGTGTGGTGGCACATGCCTGTAAGTCCCAGCTACTCAGGACGCTAAGGCAGGAGAATCGCTTGAACCCAGGAGGCGGAGGTTGCAGTGAGCCAAGATTGTGCCATGGCAGTCCAGCCTGGATAGCAGAGCAAGACTCTATCTTTAAAAAAAAAAAAGAAAAGAAAAGAAGAGGCTGGGTGCACACATGTAATCCCAGCACTCTGGGAGGCCAAGGCAGGCAGATTGCTTGAGCTCAGGATTTTGAGACCTCATCTCTACCAAAAATACTAAAGAAAGCCGGGTGTGGTGGAGTGCACCTGTGGTCCCAGCTACTTGGGAGGCTGAAGTGGGAGGATCACCTGAGCCCAGGAGGCAGAGGTTGCAGTGAGCCAAGATTGTGCCACTGCACTCCAGTCTAGGTGACAGAGCCAGACCCTGTCCCAAAAAAAAAGACCCAAAAAAAACCATTTATGTTGTATGCTTTAAATATATACAATTCTTAAAAGTTAAATAAGTTGCTCAAGGTCACGCAACTAGTGGTATCAAAACCAGGAATCACACACTTTTTTTTTTTTTTGGAGACGGAGTTTTACTCTTGTTGCCCAGGCTGGAGTGCAATGGCGCGATCTTGGCTGACTGCAACCTCCACCTCCCAGGTTCAAGTGATTCTCCTGCCTCAGTCTCCTGAGTAGCTGGGACTACAGGCATGCACCACCATGTCTGGCTAATTTTGTATTTTTAGTAGTGATGGGGTTTCTCCACGTTGGTCAGGCTGATATCGAACTCCCGACCTCAGTTGATCCACCCATCTCAGCCTCCCAAAGTGCTGGGATTACAGGAGTGAGCCACCACGCTCAGCCTCAAACACATTTATGACTCTAAAGCCCTATTACCTCTGAGATACCAGACCTGCCAGACTAGAGCTTCCTTCCACCCCTGTAAACAATATCCTTAAATGAAATCAGTTGGGACAGCTTCCAAAGTTATTTTTTTATATCAGTTTTACACATTCAACCAGAATGGCTTTAGCTCTCTGACAGTTGTCCCAAAATGAGCATGCACATTGCCCTCTAAGGAGTCACTTCTGGGTCTGCTTTCTTATGTCCCCAGCACGTGTTCCTCCATTGGTTTAGGGATGTGTTACAGATACTGGGATATAGATATAGGGATGTTATAGATACTGGGAATTCCCCCCGCAGTTATATATTAGTATCTATAATAACAGATGTAATGAGCTGTGGCCAGGAAGACCCAAACGGAGAGAAGACATCCCTCTCCACCCCAAGTAATCACTGAGCCTTGCTCCACTGGCAGCCAGACCCTCCCAGGTCTCTGCCAAAGCTGTAGTTCAATGACCGCAGCCCTCACAGGAGGAAGATTCCATTAACAAAATGTCATGGAGCACTCCCGCTGGCACAGCCTTCCAAGATAATCTAGCCCAATTTGCTTATTTTACTTAGGAGATCATAAAAGCCCAGAGAGGAGAGAAGATTTCAAAGTACTCAGGCGTTTAGAGGAACAATCAAGCCTTCTATGAGTTGCTGATTGTAGATCCTAAAAGAGTCTCTCAACAGAAAAAAAAGCAACTAAAATTACAAGTAAGTTTAATGGGATGGTAGGAGGGAGCATCTTTTTTTTTTTTTTTTTTTTTTTTTTGTGGAGGCAGAGTTTCGCTCTTGCCCAGGCTGGAGTGCAAAGGCACAATCTCAGCTCCACCAAACTTCTGCCTCCCAGATTCAAGCTATTCTCCTGCCTCAGCCTCTCAAGTAGCTGGGATTACAGGCATGCGCCACCACACCTGGCTAATTTGTATTTTTAGTAAGAGATGGGTTTCTCCATGTTTGGGTCCAGGCTGGTCTCGAACTCCCTTGACCTCAGGTCATCCTCCTGCTTGGCCTCCCAAATGCTGGGATTACAGGCGTGGAGCCACGCACTCAAGCCAGAGCCATCATTTTTACCATAGTTTTTTTATGCCAACCTTTCTTTCAGAATACAGCAACATCTTTGTATAAAGTGAAGGCTATCTCTATATGTTGAGTAAAATAAAACAGGTTTTGTTTTTTTTTTTTTTTGTTTTTTGAGACGGAGTCTCGCTCCTGGGGTCCCCAGGGCTGGAGTGCAGTGGCCGCGATCTCGGCTCACGCAAGCTCCACCATTCCCCGGGTTTACGCCATTCTCCTGCTCTCCCCTCAGCCCTCCGAGATAGCCTGGGACCTACAGGCGCCCCACCACCCAAACACGCGCCGGCTAGTTTTTGGATTTTTGTAGAGACCCGGGGTTCCACCATGTTAGCCAGGAGATGGTCTCGATCTCCTGACCCTTCGTGAATCCACCCGCCTCGGCCTCCCCAAAAGTGCTGGGATTTACAGGCTTGAAGCCAACCAGCGCCCGGGGCCTAAAAACCAGGTTTGGTAAGTTCCAAAAGGATACATAAGTGATGCAAAAATGATTACAAGCAACCAGTTTCTTTTATATTAGAGAGTTAA